GAAAAAGATAATCTGAAAGTTCAAGATCTTTCATTCTAGAATAATTTGTAAATAGTTATTTAATTGCTTTTTGATATACTCAGTTCTGCTTAGTGCATTCGTCAGTGTATTATTCTTCTCTGATTAGAATTTAATCTCAAAATAGAGGTGAGAAAGAAATTCTATTCAGCAGATTTGATATATATCCAGTTTCTTAATTATCATGAAGTATTTTAGCATGTAATGATTAGTAAAAATCTTGAATTATTCTTTCTGTTATAGTCTCTCAAGCTCAGCTTATTACTTCTGTAATACTTAGATGACTGCAAGTATTTTTTTATTATAAATCTTATAGTTGAGCTCTATATTATTCATTGACTTGAAGTAGAAAATTATAAAATATCAAAGATTATTATTCAGTCTTTGACTTAGTATTTCAGTTATCACTTTATTAGAGACATCAATTTCAATATAGATTTTATATTCAGAGTAATAATAATATAGAGTTATAGTTTTTATTAGCTATTTTTAATTACTCAAAGATTAACTGATATTCTGATATCTATATAAATAAAATAGTCTTTTTTACCAATTGATATAGTGATTTTATAATTTAATCATAGTTTTTTATAAATTACTGATAGAAGTTATTAAATTATAAAAACAATTGAATATCTTTAACTGTAATTGAGATCTACCATTTTGTGATAACAGCAGTTTTCTCAAAGTCTATTTCAATTCTCTCTATAATAATAATAAATTTTAAATATCTTATTCACTGAATAGCAAATTTATATTTTCAGATACTAGCTTACAAGTCGGTTATCTTTAATTAATTTAATATTAGATTTACTTACTGCTTATATTTTTTAAAAGTTCTACTGTAGATTAGAAAATTATTTATAAATACTATTGCGAACTTGTTCAGATAATCAAGAAAGATATTATTGATGAATTATTGAAAGCAAATAGAGATATTTATTACTTTAAAAGAAAATATTTGATATTTATAGATTTTATAGCAAATTCTAAATATGATCAAATCTTCAGATTCAGAGTCTATTTAAATGCAGTGAAACTCATCAGATATTCAGCTTTTATGAAGTATTTTACTTCATTGAGTTGATTTATTAACTCATCTATCAGAGACAATGAATACTAATTCTGTTTGATTATGATATTTAATTTGTGAAAATTAATATAAAATTATAGTTTTCTTTTACTGCAGCTAATCAAAATAAAAAATACATAGAAAGCTGAGCTTACTATAATGAAGTCTTTTGCTAAGTTCACTTTTAGATAGATTTTCACTACTTCTAATTCATTTAAATTTATTTTTTATAGAGGTATGTGGTTTATATCTCTGATAAGCTTTACATTTAACTAAAGCTTTATTTTAAGATTAAGATTAATATTTCTATATAAAGAGGGTAATTCATCTAAGATCTTTTTTAAGAAGTAGTTCTTCTGATTTTTTAATCATTAAGATAGATTATTAATTAACTCATCATCAAATTTAATATTAGCTTCTGCAAGACCTTATTTTTTCTCAAGCTGTTTATCAATTTTATACAGACTGATAATAAAAACTGTAAAGTTTCTATTTCTTATATAGTTATAAAAGAAAGTAGCTTCAACAAAGTTCAGATTTATTGTTTGTAATACTTCTTCTTTTCACTTATTGAGCTAAGTCACTGACTTTTATTTAGTTTTTCTATCAAATCTGATATTTTTTAATATTTCTCTGAATGCTCTTCTATCTATTCTAAAATAAGTTACTCATTCAGGTAGATAAAATATCAATTCTTGATATTAAATCATATATTTTATATAATCAGTTACTTTTATTTTAAAATAATATAATACTAGCTCAAATCAATTATCAGTAGAAAGATATTCTGAAATTTCTATTCATTTAATCAATGATTTAAGATTAATATATGATTTATCATCTCATTTAAGTTTTTATTATATTTTTTTATACAGTATTTAAATAAAAGTTTTTAAACCTTTCTATTAAAAAGTTTTATCAATGTTATAATATATTAAGTGTTAATAAAATCTATATTATTTACTTTAGTATCAGCAAGAGAATTTGTAAAAGTGATAATTTTATTATAGATTAATTTAATTAATACATTAAAGCTTTTTTCTTTAATCAAGTTCTTCATATTAAATCTTTTATATACTATTAAGCAATCTAAAATGAAGATTTTTTTTCAAACTTATTTCTTTTTTGAATCTACTTAGAGTTTAGTGATATCATTTTCAGTAAATTTAGTATTATTTATTAAAACTTTTGTTTTGCAAAGTAATTTCTGACAATATAACTTTTTTTCCTATAGTAATATCATTGAATATCTGAATAAAAATTTATAAATTTTTTTACTATAGTAATTAATTTTAAAAAGCTGATAAAGATCTAAATATTCAAAATTTATATAGTATTTTATTTTAATATATTAAATTTATTACTTTATAAACTTTTTGACTTTTAAATAATATTAATTATCTGAGGAGTATAAGTCATCTAAGTGTAAATTTTTTAAAATTCAATATATATATCAATTATTATATTAATTATTATCATCATTCTTTGAAGATTAAAAAAAACTTATCATTAAAGTTAGTTTTATAGTTCTTTTTAACAATCTTAATCTCATCTATCAGATGTAAAAACTTTATGATAAACTTATAATAATTGTTATCAATATGTATAATTAGCTTACAGTAGTCATTTTTGATATTATATAACTTATTACTATTTTTATAGATTGACTTGAGATGCTTAAATATCTTTTCTATAGTTTGATATTGTCCAGAATGATTCTTCTTCATATGAAATGTAATATAATATACTGAATTTTTATCAGTTCAGTTTTCAATATATACAATCTTCATATATTTAATAAGATAATGATTAGTATTCTTTTGAAGTTTATTCTTCATGTAGAAAAGTCAGTACTCAAACTTTAACTTCTTACTATTAATAAAATATTTTAAGTTATCAATCTTGATAGATCTTTTTATATTCTCTGAGAAGATGATGTCTTGACTTATTATTTAATTGCTGACTGTTATATAGATTAAAATATGACTAAGCTCATCATATTCTGCAAAGAGTTCATTAATTTAACATTACTTAATAGCTGTCTAGACTGCAGCATAATTCTGTTTAATTTACAGATATATGACTGTATTTCTTAGTGCTTTTTCATTGTTAAAAACACTATTAAAAATTGCTGCTAACTTATTGTAAACATGATTTTTATTTAAGTGAATTATCTATCTGAATTCTTCAAATAAAACTCATGATTAATCAATTGACTTTGTTAGAACATATTATCAATTCTTCTTAATCTTTTCAGAGAACTAAAAGTCTGAGATGATCATTCTAATCTGGGTCTTTCTAATGACTAAGAAGAATGAGTTGCTGTTCTGAGCTGACTGTGTTTAGACTCAGTGTACTGTCATATCATCAGATTTATGCTGAACAGATTCTACTCAATTCTGAGTAGAAAGAGTAGGTTAAAGCTTAGTATTATAATAGAATGCAAATGAAAGCTGCAGAAGAAGGAAACTTTCTGCATTGCTAACTGCTTTATAACAGAATATTAAGCTTGATGAGATGAAAGGAGGTACCTTTATATTCGCTTATGATTGATTCCCTTGAGTTCGACATCACTGTGAGGAAATATCAGAGTTAGCGAGGTCTTGTTTAATTGGTCGGCGACGCTAAGAGATGGAATGCAGTGCAAAGTAATATGAAGACATTTTTGCATGTTTGACAAATCAAGGTGTGCAGAATGAAGGAGAACTTTGGCGGCAACCAGGTTAAGCTGCATCGACGGAAAGTCTGTGCTGTGATACGTGGGAGAGAAGCCACCTGATGATGAAGCCAGGGACTTAGGCAATTAAGAATATTATTCAGGCACGAAATGCGGTGAAACCATGCATGACGGTTTGCTCAATAGGCAAGAGAAAAGTAACAAATAACAGGAAGAAAACCTGGCGGCTATCGAGTACTTACAAAACCAGCGTTGAGTTGGGCGGGATTAGTCCAGGAAAACCACTAAAGAGCAGCCAATGATAGTTAAGGGCTCAAGTCAGTGATCTGATTTATGTCTGACAGGACGGTTTTGGAAGATAAAGCTCCCATATAGCAGCTTGCATCTAGGATTATTTTGAACTTATAGTCCTCCCCATCTGTCTATAACGCAAAATATATGAACAACATTGGGGAATGGACGGCCAATTTCTTTTGCACAGGGGTCGGAAATAAATTTGAAAGGTAACATACCGCTCACCATACGCGTAATCACTGGAGAACAAAGTGCAAGCAGATATGATTAGTAAAATAGTTCCCTTTCCATAAAACGCCAATTCGATGAAATATTGTTGGGTCTCAGGAAAGTTGGAAAAAGGGCTGAATGGAAAAGCATTGACTTACCCACTGATCGTCAAGATGCTCCTTTCACCAAGGCTCATATTAACAACAGCCTCGTCCCAACCTTTGTACAGACGGAATGGTTAGTCGGGAATTCGTCAGATATGGTACCATTACGTCCAAATTATAAGGCGGATAGCCTCACATTGCAAGTGTGACCAGCGGGATGTTGGCTAAAGCGTATACCGTATAGAAAAGCTGTTAATAAGTACCTTGGATAACTTTCCCAATGCCGATTGTGGTTGTGAAGTTCCCTCTGTCGCTGGAAGAATCAAATCTGCACCGAATTTAAAAAGAATTCAGCAAATAGACCGTTTGCTTCATCGTTTCTTCCCTTTTTTCCTTCGACAAAACAGCGGTTTCAAAGTGAGCTGCGAATACTCACTCGTCTCCCATATAGTTCTTATCAGCGGCAGTTGGGTCATAAAGGCACCCTTTGTAGTTGATCACCACTTCGTCGCCCTTTGATGGCTTGTCAACTCCATTGCCCTTTTTGAGCACTCTCTTTATGACACCCATAACGCAAGACTCGATTGAATAGCCGAAGATGGATCTCTTTTCAAAGGTTTATATAAATTCCTAGTGCTGTGAACATTTGATGAATACTGGAGAGGAATAAGCGAATGTTCGATAAAGTGCCTTCAATTTTCAAACGATCGAAAGTTGGGCCTTGTCAGATGGCAAGAGCTTTTAAATTTCACGTCAAGCAAGTGATGAAGGGCACTGTTTATATATGTGTGTATGTATGTATATATTCGAGTTGTAAACGTTTGGAGGGTGTGACAAAATAGAGCCGCGTATTTCGATGTGGAGAAGAAGCCCACGAGATATAGTTCGAGAAGCGTCCAAAAAAAAGAAAAGAAAAGAAAAGAAAACCGGTGCAAAATGAAAAGGGTCCTTCAGGGAAATCTGTGAAGAAACAAGGGGAGGAATTGAGCACGAAAGACTGTATTAAGAAGAGAAAATTATTTCATGGATTGGAAACCGATTGGGTAGAAGCTCAAAACCGTCCGCAACAGCTGCCACATCATACGTAAAATTCTCCTTGAAATCATGTTTCCGAGGAACATCAGATTTTGGGTCCATGCAACGGGTTGAATGCTCAGTGGTTCTGGACAATAATCCACTGCGGGAATCGCGTGAAATCCAACTATTTAACTAATCAATCAGAAGAGAAAAATATTACGCTTCTTGTCCCACCCCTGCTCTCTAAGAGACGACAAAGTTCGAGTTCGGGGCTGTCAATACATTCGCGGCCTGCAAATAACGGCGCTTGGCTCTAAACCTATCCAGCCCACCGAATAATGGCGACTGGTCGAGGGGCAGAACTGAGCAGAGGCGTTTTCGTGGAAAGAAGCTCTGCAGTTTGTCTGACACCCTTAAATCCAACAGACGGGGTTTTGGCGCAGGCGTGCAGTAGATCGGACGCCACGAACAGTAGAACAGCCAGGTCATGGTGGCCTATGGCTGGCGGAATGGCCTAGGTACCGCCCGGTCCAGGAGTCTAGAGCGTGCCTAGATCGATCGACCCCTCCCGAAGACATCTTCAATGATTCGTCAAAAATCTCCCAGTTCTCATGCTTGAATAGTTAAGGGACTTTCCTCTCCATATGGTAGTTAACTATAATATGCAGCCGTTTTCATGGTGTCAATTTCTCACTCTCTCCTAGCATAATCTATATAACTATAGTTAAGCGAGCGAACCACATAAGCGAGTGAGCCAGTTCTCGAACATCTACGCTTCTCCTGATTTAACAATTAAAAATATCAACAATGCAAAGTCATCAAGTCTTCTTTTAAGAAAAAAATAGAATACTTCTTTTAACAATTCAAGCACTTGATGAAGACCAGATTAGTGTATGAGATGTAGCAAAGTTATATGATGTCCTTCATCCTACTCTTACTCATTATGTCAATAATTATATGGCACATATTGATACTTATCAAAGAATTGAAAACTTAGCCTTATAGAGGAAAAATCTTTTATTCAGTGAGTTCTCTCTATGAATATGTGAGAACAGTCATCTCAGAATACAACTGTATAAAATATAATCAATTTTACTCCTTTGTGAATAAAAAATTAAGTTTGAATTTAATTTTATTTATCAACAAGCTAATGAATGCTGAGTATGAAACTTTATCAAGTATTATAAAAAGTTAAAATTAAAGTTCTCATGAAAGTATGATTATAAGTGAACTCTATATAAGAATTCTAATATGATATATGAATGATTTAAGTTTGTATAAAATATTATTGAAAAGTATAAAATTTCACTGAATGATATAAAAAATATTAATAAGACTAAGTTTTATATCAGTAAATAATTTAAATAGTTAAAGTGATTATTAAATTTAAAAAAGTAAAATATTTAAAATTTATATAAAAATTATTAAAAATAATTAAACTTTCTATATAATAATTATTTTTTAAAAAAAATAATTTAATTCTATTAGTATAAAACTAAAAAACTATTATATAACTAATTAATTAGAGTTAATAAAATAATTAAAAAATAAAAAAATGAAATTAATTTTACTTAAAAAGATATTTAGTAAAAAAAATTTAATATTATATAAAAATTAAATATTTACTTTTAATTTTTTAATTATTAATAAATATAAAAATCTTATTTTTATTAAATTTATTTAATTTTATTTTAAGAATAATATTATTACTTTCTATGTATTATCTTATTTATAAATAATAAATAAAAAATAAATATAATTTAATATTAATTATATTAATAAAAATTTTTATTTTTTATTAAATAACTTATATAAAAGTTAATATACTTTATCATTGAGCAATAAATATATAGCTATTTATTAAAATAATTATATATAATATATTTAATAATCTTATAGATACTATAATATAGTGAAGTTTATTAATAAAATACAGCTTCAATTTAAGCTTTTAATCTATAAATTAAATAGATAAACATACTTATAATCTTTTTATATAGATAGAATAATATTATAATTTAAATTAAATTATCTTCATATCTTTTTCTTTATCTTCTGCTTATTTTCTATTAAAAATATCTTGATTTTTTAATAAAAAAAAAGAATAAAATACTTTTTTACTTAATTTTATACTTTTAATAATTATAACTTAATTATAATTCTTCTAAATAATTAATTATATATAATCTTCTATTATCTTTAGATGCAGGAATAACTTTAGAAATTATATAAAACTTTATTATAAAGTTAATTTTAATAAAGTTTTAAGTATTATTTTTTTGAATTTTATATATTTAAATATCTTTAAATATTATCTTTAGTTATTATTTTATAATTTTTAAATTCTTTTACTTGATTTATTGATAAAATATATAGTGATTATAGTATATATAATTATAAATAATATTAAATAAATTTAGATATTTAATTAATTTCAAAAATAATAATAAAATTAAAAGTATATTCTTAAAGTAGAATCTGTATTATTTTATATAGAAACTTTAATTAAATTAAAAAATATTATTTATATGCATTTAATAATAACTTAAAAGAAATTTTTCTTTAATTATTGTTAATTTATAATTATTTATATGTATCTCTAAGTATGATTTAATTTTATCAAGTTATTTATATAGAATAATTTTAAAAATCTCATATATTTTAAATATTTTATTTTTAATATATTTTTTAAAAATTTATATAAAGTAATAATCAACTATTTATGAGATTTTTGAGATAAAAATATTTTTAAAAAATATTTAAAGAAATAGTATATTAAAGATAATTGAGTTAAATATTTAATAATTTTTTTAAAAAATCTATTACTCAGTGATGTTCATCACTTAGTAATAAAGTATATTAACTATAAATAAAATTAATTTTTTATAATTCAAAATAAATTTTTTTTATATTATACTATTTAAATATTATACTAATATTCTTTAAAAAATATTCTTTTAAATCTTTTAAATTATAATTATATTATATATTACATATCAATTGAAGTAATAGATTGAAAAGATTAAATAAATATCAAAAATTATATATAAAACTCACTTAGCTTAATCAATTAAGCTTTAAATTAATTGATCAATAGCTGTCATATAATCATGCATAAAATAACTCTTCTGAAGCAGAAACAAGAAACTAAAAAATACAAATACAAAACAAAAAAGAAAGTAAGAAAGAGAGTATACTTATATAGTTTAGAAGAGTGCTTTAAGAGTTGAAAAAGATTTGAATTGTATACAAAAACCAACAGATGAGAAAGACTCAAGCTTTCTGTCATGGCTCAACTAGAGGCATGATGATAACAAGACAAAAGCTCAATTCATCTATCTAACTAGGCAGCTGCGACGAGAATAACTAAACTGAGGAGTAGAATGTGGGAATGAATGAGTAGTCTAATATATATAGATGGTTGGTGATCGGAACGGATCAACCTTCGGAGCGGAGCGAATCAATCAGAGCAACCAAATATAGTTGGGGTCGGAGTGGATCAACCTTATCCCATATTACCAAGCGACTGCGCTGTAACACTTTCAACTCTTAATCATGAAAACATGCAGCACCACAGTGTAGTGTGTGTGATACTATTGAATATCCTGTTCATACATGTGAAAGTTGAGTTGTATAACTAATATGTGGTTGTTGTGCAATATAATTATAAACATGTAGAATGGTAAGGAGGTGGCTCACTCACTTAGATATAGATTACATTGACTGTAACAATGAGGGTTAATGTAAACCACCACACAATGCACACTGCCACACAACACATGCCTCAAAAAGCTGATTTTTGAACTCAACCTTCCACCTTCAATCATCTACAACATGCCAACCAAAGAAGCTGTAGAGCTCGCAGTGACTGAATTCCTTTCACAAGAGACTGTCAATTATACTACTGTTGCAAAAAAATACAGAATTCATTGAACTACACTTATACAACACATTATGAGCAAATCAGTATCTCAAGAAACTGCTGACTCTCTATATAGACAGAAACTTATGAACTCTCAAGAGAAAGAGCTTATTCAATATATAAATCATCTTACAGACCATGGCTTTCCTCCTACACCTCAAATTCTTCAAAATCTAGTTGAAGAAATTCTTCAGGAGCTGATTGATGAGCATTGAATCTTTAGATTTTGTCAACACCACAAGAATTGCATCAAAAGTCTATATTTATGAGCAATTGATCAAAAATGCAAAAGAGCTGATAATTCTGAGTATTTTCAGCACTTTTTCCAGCTTGTATTTGATTGATTTTTATTTACATTATCTGCAATTTAATGAGGAGTTGCTAATGCTTAAGCATTTTAGCTAGATGAAAAGGTCAAAAAATTCAACATTCAATCATCTAATACATGAAATCTTGATGAGAAGGGCTTTCTTATGAGTGTCATGCAAATTAGCAAGTGAATAGTCTCTGTACAGCAGCTTAAGAGTGGGAGCTTGCTAGGCATGATTCAAAATGAGAGTAGAGAATTCATCTCTTTGCTAGCTGTCATATCAGTCAGTAAAAGATCAACACTGTCAGATCTTATATATCA